CATTATAAAATAGATTAGAAAATCGCAATAGCTTATGGGCCCTCTATTATCACATTCAAGTGTTTTCAAGTATTGATACCTGCTTAAATGAGAGGACAATAATAACCCCATGTATGAAAAATGACTGGGACAAAGGCATACAATTTGGCAAACTGTGCATGTGTGAAAATAAACTGCTTAAGAGAAAAGCAATTATGATTACAATGACTCAGCTGGCTGTTTAAAAATTCTGCAGAACTGAAACCAGCTAATGGATTAAGAATTGAGTACATATTTTTAGTGTTTGTAAACAACGTGGCTGCCATCCAACATGTTTCATAAGGCATGGTCCAAAAAGTGCAAATTAGGTACACTACAGTAGACTTTTAATGGTAACTGATTTCCTGTGCTGTGCCAGGTCTACACTGCAAGCTCAGTTCTTGTTATCTTGGTCTTCGTCAACAGAGGTATAATACTCCCTACAATACAACCATAACCATATTGGACTAGTCTATAATGGACAATACTATCGCAATGTCTTGGGGGGTTTCATCATTTCTCTGGGTCCTGTATTGGCCTGTATTAGAACTCATCAGTCTCTTCTTCCATCTCTCGGACTACTACAGTAACTATTGACAGCTTATTATTAGAATCATACATTAGCAAACACCATACACTCTTCCCATCTCAAAAGATCTTGTTTATTTTATTTGTAAAGGATGCTCACTCAAAATGATGCCAGCAAATCAATTTAAAATTCTATAGCCTGATCACAGACTGATGAATTTGCTTTCCTTTCCAAGACAATCACGAACTCTGATTATTCAGTGACTCATTCAGTGACTCAAAATAATGACAACCAATGAGCTGGACTAACAGCTTTGAGATTTAGTCAGTATGTACAAAAATATGATCTTAGGAAACGTACTGTTTTCAACCGAATAAGAAAAAGAAGAGACATTTTTAGCTGGTACTTATGTATGAGTGTATGGACACATTTTTTAAATTCTCCATATAAAATTAATTATTAATACTTTGCCAGCTGTCGGGAATGTGAATATTGTGTGGGAACAGAATAATCAAAGAAGAAAATGAGACGCTCCAAAACTGATGACCCTACCTGTTTGAGCTGCACTGAGCTTTTACTATTATTGCATTTAATAATTGGGCTTAAATTGCCCATGGGGACAAATAAAAGGACACTGATTGGTTGAACCTGCACCAAAAGAGGGCTTGAGGTGTGCGCTCCATCTCACACCATCCACCTCTCCTTGAGAAAATCCTTTTGGTCCTTTTGATCCTTTTGAGAGCTCCAGGTACTTTGCACAGACCTGATCATGCTGGGGGTGCTCTAAACATTTCATCATTAGAGATACATGTAGGAGTTAAGATTGTCTGAAAACTGAAAAAAAAATACAAGATGGATTTTTAAGTCTAGTCTTTCTAGTCTAATCTGAGTAAACAGAATGGTGTCTACAGTTAGCATCGCACCCTCAGAGAATGTTGATGACAGCTTAAAAGTGTCAATAAAAGCTCAACAGGTCCAGGTAAAGGAAAAAGGAGAAAGATCCGTTATAGGAGCATTTTGAGCCCCATAAAGACATCCACTGTCTATACAACACTGTAAAGCACAAGGCCAACCTCAGACATGAACCCGCCTCTCCCAGTAGGGTCATGGTTAAACTGGAAAATAAATTTAAAGACCAACACACAAGACTGAAGAGCTACAGAAGGAGACACCACAGAGTCAAGTGCACAAGATCTTTGTCAGTGATTGGGGAAGTTGATTGGATTTGTGCCAACATAGAGCACGAAAGGAAAATGCAGTTCTGGAGACACAAAATAGAAGGAAGGAGCTATCCAAGAAAGTAAGGAAGTTGTACTGTACACAGAATATATCGAAGAGGATTGTAGTAAGCCTGAGCATGAGGATGAAGATACAGGCCAAAGAGAAACTAACTCAAACCACCTCCAAACATAAAACTTACCCGTAAAATTGAATAGAAACAAAAAACAGAGTATGTGTAGTATTATGCGGCAATATAAAGATTATGTTTTGGGTGAGTTTCATGTTTAATTTACTAATTTAATCAAGTTTAATTTACTTGAATTTCCTTCGGGATCAATAAAGTATCTCTCTTGCTCTAATGCACAAATGGAACATTGCAGTAATAAAGTTTAATGCTTTTCTAATTATTTTTGCTGCTTCATATTAAATGATCACATGGAAATTATGTAATATTCTTATTTTGCATATCTTCAAATCAACAATATTCATTTCATCAGTATTTGAAAATATGTTCCATCTACAGGTACTTCAGATTCACATTCACATTTTCCTCTACAGTTCTACCTAAGCAAGCGCAAATGCAGCTTAGTACTTCCATGCATGTATAATAGTATTTTCTGTAACCATTTGCCTCAGAATTCTCAAAGTGCAAATTTGTTAAACAGCAAAAAAAGTATGCCTCACGGATTTAGCAAAGTTTGACATTTTAAACAACAGCTGAATAATCTGTTTTCTTTTTAAACTTTGCCTGTGAACTGAACCAAATCACTTCACCTTTTACTCCAACCATTACACAAAATAGGCCGAGAATGAAAACATCAATACAGCTGGGGTCAGAAAGTCTGCCTCAAACCCCAAGTGTGGGTGAAATGTCATCTGAGCTCACCGTAAGCAAGACCGCAACAATTAATTAAGGATCTTTCTATTTGCAGTAAATAGGAACTACTCTTTCCCTATCTCTCCAGGGAAGTCCACAAAGTAGTAAGGCATAGTTATACACTCCAAGCTTGGCAACTATTAATCAATTCAATATGCACACATTTATGTAGAGAGGGTAGGCAAACAAAGACGGGGAGAGGCGCTGCAAACAAATTAAATCGTGTTTACAAAAATCTCATTCAGAAAGTCCTTCAATTTTAGACACGGCGAATAATATCTCTCACCGAGTTTATTCGCAGGAACCAAGGGATTGGACAAACAAACTGCATAATCGTAAAGGTAAATATCAGGGAAAAATGAAATTAAACTAGAGGCATTTACAAGTCAATTTTACTCGCCTTTCCCCAGAAGCCGTATAAACAGGAATAGCTTGTGGTAACTTTGCACACAGTGGCTCCAAAAGGATTTTTTTTCTCGAATTGGTGTCCCCATCTCCTGAGGCAAAAAGGCAATTTCATGCTCGAGCACGACTCCAGGGGACATCAGGACTGGAGGTGACCCCAAGGTTAACACCGCAAACCTCATAAATAGAAAAAGAAACAGGAGTGGCAATGGTAGTGTAATAGTAGTTGCAGCTTGGGGCTAGGGCAGGGGTTTTCAATTTTCACAGTCAACTAAATGAGCATATGGATAACGTACGATTTACCTGACCAGAGAGAGCCACACACTTTGACCAAACTTTACAAAAAGAGATAGATTCTGAGCTGTATCCTGTTTCCCTGGTTCCAGAGGGGCGTGATTGACAGGCAAATTTACCAGTCAGAAAGGTGCATGCTGTTTGCGTCAAAAACAAACATGGCTGCGAACACATAAAAAAGAAAAATCTACATAAAGGACCAAGAAACAGTGTGGATTTAACAGAAAGCAACAAACTATTACCTATAAGAAGTTATATATTTTGTTCTGAATGTTTTGAGAATTTTCAAGAGGAGATGTCGTCCACATTTGATACAAATAAGTGGCTGTGGATGGATCGCCAAACATTTTGACAAGGGTTTTTCACGCTCTATGGTCCAGTTTCAGACCCTTTTGGATTCAAACAGAATGCAGAACGGACTGGCTGGGCAGGAAAGAATACAATAGCTGCGAGAAGCACCCCATGTGTGCCTATAGGAGGTGTTGCTGGCGGCACGTGTACCCAGTTGCCAAGCTAATCTGTCAATTCTCAATGTGACTTGTATCAATAATTCAAGGGTACAGCATTGCAGAGTTGGCAGCCAAGAGTCAACTCAGGCGACATTTGAAATAGTATCTCTAAACAACATGCATAACTAACCAAGCTCAAAAAACAGACTTCACTGAATACATCCTCGCAAAAGATTCAACTGGAGATCACTAATTACAAAAATGCAAATGCGGGGAATAGATCGTAGATGTTGTCATGTGACTATTGATGCATTTTGAAATTAATCTACTTGAATAAGCTTAGATGTGCCATTTCAATCCATCAGGAAAGTGCACACCCGCTGTAGCCACATAACCCCTCATCCAAAGAGCTGCTCCTAAGTGGCTTCTTCCTCCCTTCTGGCTTCACTGGCTGCCAAGACGACAGGGAGCAGCGGACCAGTACCGGTGCTTAAAATGCAATTTGAGGAAAGTTATGGCTGGTATTATGGCGTGGTGTGTTTATATCTTAAGTTGATCAAAGCAGATGCTAGCTCTTAGAGGAAACCGGAGAGCGTGCCAGGTTATATTGTGTGTGCATGATTCAGCAACAGCCTAAATCCACACACCTGGTTAAATAAAGAGTATTTTTAGACTGGCTAATATGCCCTTGGAGGTTCAATTACCATTATGTCTTGTTTAGGATAATGGAATAAGGTTTTGTGTTCAGTTGAAAAACTGCACAGTTTATCATCTTGAAATTATGTCAATTAGAGATTCAGAATGTCAATTTTGTTAATTAAGATGAATTGCATGGTCTGAGCGTATTGACATGAGACAAAGAAAGCAATATTGGTTTTTCTATTGAACCACAGTGCCTAACACAGAAATCTGAACATTTGCAGTAGCTTGGGTAATTAAAAAAAAAAGAAAATCGCTTTTTGTTTGCTCATATTAGTCTAATAAATGACTAATAAATGAATAAATATATATGTGTACAATACATATGTCAAATAATGCCTGTTTGTGCATTCTGTCAATCAAGATGTTAGCTTTCTAATCTATTGTTGTGCTTTATTATGGAGACATCAACCTATACTCTATGCATAATGTATAAATAGTATTTTATATGGTTTTCCTGTGATTGTGTAAAGTGATAGTAATTTGAAAAGAGTGATATTAGGCTTACATCCTCGTCCTCTCTGACGCATTTCTTTCGGTATTGCACGTGCGGTCTGCCGTCGACGTGGGGCTGTGGGGTCCTGGCCGCGTTGTCCTCGTCCACAACCTGTCCTCCCAGGAGGTGGCTGGCCTCAGGTGGGTGCGGGAACGAATTAGCGGTATTAATCTTCCCGCTGAATCTCTGGTACAAAGAAGCCATAATAGTCTTGATAATACAACTTAAAGCATGACAGAGCCAAAGAGGCGCGAGCTGGTCTTATCTGCGAGAGGAGCGCTGGCACACGGACAGGTCTTTCGGTCTCTTCTTAGACAGATGAGATGACAGTTAGTAAATAAACGTCAAGCGATAGTGATGACCCCGTGTGAAAACGAAACAAAGGTAGTTTCCGTTTAGATTAGTCTTGACGCGTGGCACAACGATGGGCTATAGGTGTCAATAGTTGTCTCGTCAGTATTCATAACACGTTGTCTCTCCTCTTCAGTTTCCCGGTGTCTCCTTGCTGAGAGAGATAGCAGGCGGATGAGTTTCCGATCAGATCCAGCCGGTCCCCCTCGGACTCCGGCGCTGATTGTCCGCGTAAGACAAAAGAGCGCCAGATAATGTTTCAACACTTTGGGCGTTTGTTTTGGCCGACTGTCCTCACGCGCGAGGAGAGTGTGAAGGACGCAGAGAGAAAGAGGAAGAGAGGGAGAGACCGGGGATGTGCAAGCAGACGCGCTGTGCATGTGAAGTGACCAAGACTGGGAACGGCTTTACGGTGGAGCTGTCAACATGCCTTTTTACGCACGAAACACACGACCACATCTGGACATCTCTTTACACACAGCTGTACACCGGCATCCGCTTGGTGTCTTAAGAAAGGCCATGACATTTTGTCTGGGGAGATTGGTCCCCAGGACGGCGCTCGAGTGCCTCTCTGTGGCGTCTTGCATAAGGACAAGCTGACCTCTGTATATCATGATCCAGGTGCACAGCGTGCTTTCCGCGTGAACATAATACCACGTTGTCAGAGCCTGGCATTTTAAATCTAAAGCATAACGATGAAAAACTGTACCAATAATACACTTCATCTTCTGAACAATAGTGTGCACTATATCAAACCACTAATTCATGGACAATCAATTGAGTAAATCTACTACAATTTATCATGTATCCAAATCCATGGCTTCTAAACAATACACTAACATCTCCAGATTTATAGCTTACCATACAGTCACAGGGAGTCTCTGTGACTGTATGACCTGGCCCCAAATAAGTGGAATAAAATGGATGGATGGGCATACAATCACATGGACATCTGACTCTTTTAAAATCAGGCAGTATGATCATCAAAATGTAAATGCAAGGAAATCACTTGTTTACATTAAAATAAATAAATTTTAAAAAGTTGTCTCTAGATAATAAAGGTGTTTTGAAAAATGTTAAATGTATTCAAAATTTGTTTTGAAAACAAAAAACTTATGTAAATTACTTAGTATCCCCTACGTCCAAGGGCCACTTTAAAAACAATACTATGGTAAGCTGAAAGCATATTAAAACTCACCTTCTTTTGTCCCAAGTACTTATAATTTAATTCTTGCTGCATATTTAAACACTATAACGTGATTCTTCATGCAGCTACAATCTTCACCAAAGCTGGCAGTGTCCTAAATCGTACCATTAGCCCCATCATCACAGCCTTTCTCATACAGCAGAACATTACACATGATTCATCCTTTGAACATCTACTGGGGCCAAGGCACTGCTGCTATCTTCAAATTGCCCAATATTGGCTTATATGGTGCAAAAGGAGTTCCATGTATTCAAGTGGGTGACATCTTTTGTCCCGAATGCCTGTAGCGAACATCCCTCAGCCATCTCACGGTGACAGCTCAAACTAACGCTCCACCGGGACACCAAAATGAATTGTGGGAAATGGGACATCTTCACTGGGGTTGGGACTTCAAAGCACAGTGCTGAAGTACAGCTCCAAACAGCCACACACATTCTGTTGAGTGGGGCATCTGTTATCATGGGTGCTAAAAGTGAGCAGAACATTAGATAGTAACCATGGATGGCTACAGAAATGGTCCATATTCAAGTTTAAACAATAAGAAGTTTTCAATAGTGTTCTCAAAGCCACAATATGTAACTATGTAACTTTTTAGCCAAAAATAGACTAGAAAGCTTTTTTTCCCCAACTTTGATTGTTTTTATTGCACAGAAAAACCTAAAGAGCATAAACCTGACTCTAATTTAGAATCATGACGGTGAAATGCCACCTCTAGAAAGACACATACTGTACGATTAAAGGATCCATATTATGCTATTTTCTGATCTATGTTATTATGTTTCCTCATTACAAACATACCTGGTGTTGTGTTTTGTTTCATTCACACATGTTTAACACACAAATCCTCAAACAAAAAAACATTGCTCCACCTTATGATGTCATGTTGTAATACAAGAAGTGCTCCTCTGTGTTTTTAAACTCCATACTTCTTCACTAGAATCATGTGGATAATTTCAGCCCTGGAATTGTCAATCTCAGTTGAACTAAACATAAAAGGTAGCTGCTAACATGAAAACTATGGCTCTATATGACATCACAAGGTGGAACAGAGCATTTTGAGCTTTGGAAATGTAGACAGACTAAAAATGCAGGATTACTCATACATGTGTGAATGAAACAAAAGGCAACATTCTAGCATGCCTTAAAGCTCTTTTGTGTAACTTGGAACCTTTAACGAATGCTCACTTTTTCATACCATTGAAAAGACTAGGGGGGCATTTAGTCAGGGCAAGAATTCTTAATGTTACCGCTACAATAATGGGATATGTATCTGGAATACCCAATACTGATTCCAAAATCATTTGAAAACAAAAGCACAGACCATTACTACTTTTAATTAAACCTGTCTGTATGCTTGCACTCTTCACTTCAAATCAATTTTTCATGGCTTTGGGAAACTATTCATAAATTAGTTGTATCCATTTTGTTGAGGTTTTTGCAATTTAATTTCCAACAAGATTTATGGCATGCGCCGACCATTGCATGGACAGCTTCCTCTTCCTCCGAGGCTAGCTTGGGTCCCTGTCATCATTTGTTTCTCTAGTTCATAAATGCCTTTTCCAGGGTGTGCACGCTCAAGGGAAATAGGTCCGAGAAACTTGACAACCATCCAGGCCACTCTGATAGATGTCCCCCAATCTCGTCACCTTGTTGGGGTAGCTGTTGTGAATCGGCTGGCTGCCTTTAACGTGCCCCCTGGAGCTCGGGCTCAGCTTGACTCCCCCATATCACCGGCTCGCAGATACAGGGACCGACTGGAGTCCTGTCACAAAGATCACTGCTTCACGGCTCGCATTGCAGGAGTTGGAGAAGTGTGAAAAGCCCTGTAATAACCAGTGTAATGAAGATGATTTGTGTTACATGTCTAAACCCTCTGGGGGATTGTGACCGGTGCCTTCACACCTTCTGTAGATACAATATGCAGCTGGAACACACGGAGAGGTGATCGTATATGCAAGCAAATAAAAGTGGTATTTCACACACACAAGGGACAAATGAGGCAGTGAACAGGTAAGGTAGGTATAAGATTATTCCATTGGGCTTCATGTCTATGCAATGCTTTCAAAATAAGAAAAAATTCAATATAATAAATGTTTGCATAGACCAGTGTAACTCAAACTGAATTTTTGTTTAGTATCATAAACTTTCACTAAGATGTAGATGCCATGACTGTGTACAATTTAGCAATATTATGGACAAAAAGGACATGAGAGGCTTTTTGAATCATTTTTCCAGCTCAGATAAGATATGAGTTAAACTAAGAAACCATAAAAATCAGCAGTAACCCCATCTTGTATTAGTGGTGATAGCAGAATAAGTGGCTGAATTTTGCACTACAGTAAACATAACAGTTATGAATACCAATCAAACACATTGGATACATACATACGCAAAAACAGAACAGACTGAAGTTGTCAGATTATTGAAATGTAAACAGCAAAATGTATTCGGGTTGCTTTCTGACTGTTCACACCTGTGCATGTTTTAATGAGGAAACTATTACAAAAAAGTCAAATATATATATATATATAGCAAAGACAAAGATTAAAGATAAAGTGTTGTTCAGATCTAATAATTGGAGTATCTGTTGTTGAGTGCGTATACATGCACATCAGCATCCCGATTATATCCCCTGTATACATGATTCTTGACATAATCTTACAAATGCACAACCGAAAAAATTAACTTAATTTAAATTAATAAACCATGAAAAATACAAACAATGAGCTCCTTTAGCATAGGAAGCTCGGGAGGTTTAACCAGCAGTAAGGAGCTAGGAGATATCCCACAATCCACTGCGCAAATCAAACCAAACAGATTCTTCATTAAAATTTTCTGCATAAATAAACTCAACTTTACCACATATAAACCATAACCACTCTAGAGTCACATCAGCCTGTTTGATAATATAATTCAGCTTTGACACATTTGTTTACATTTTACAGAAACAAAACTTAAAACCGCATGGCTGATTTGCATAAACTGTTAGCACTGATAAAATATTTTAAAAAACAGCTCGCTCCTTGTGTTGCTGATGCGGTTCAGCTTCTTTCGGACACGACTCAGTGAAATATGTGTGTTCTTTTTGTGACAGAGGAGGTGCTAATGATGGTGAGTCTGTTCTGTGTGTAAATCGTATAGGAGATAGTTCATGTTTTAGCTTTTCAGCGATCACATGCATGCAGGTCATACAAGTGCAGATTGTACGTGTGCAGATTTAGCGCAGCTCTTTATTTTACAGTCATTTCACTCATGTATGGTCACTTTATTTATGTTGCTAATGTTGTGGTGAAAAGACTGGAAGGTTTTTGTCTTTTGGTCGCATGCACAGTTTATGTTGCAGTAACCGGGATACTATGTATATACATGCCACAGTATCCCAGTTACTATCAGAATATACCAGCTGCAGTATCCCGGTGTCTCATAACCGGGGTACTACCTTATTTGGGATACTGAAACCGGGATACAGCGTATACATGCACCACAAAGAAACCGGGATACTCAAAAAACCCGATCATAACCGGGATACTGATGTGCATGTAAACACACTCATTGTTTCTACCAGTCAAATGTAGCAGGCCTGTAATGAAATATAATAAATGTACAGTATGTATGTTGTTTGTTCTTCTTGCACAATGCTCCACAA